TTGTGCCGATGCAGTGACTGGTCATCGCAATTGCCATTGGGACATCTGGTGAGATTATCTCTGTGGTTGGGGGCAGCAATATTGAGGTACGTTACTCCCAACCTTATCTACCCTCTCCAACACTTCTTATCGTGAGGTTGTGTGATCCAACTTGAGAGTCCTCTCATCGTGAGGTGTCGAGTGTGCTCAACCTTGAGAGTCGGCATACTTCCTGTGGAGCATCAGGGGGAAGAGGGCGTTGCTTTCTGAAGGGCCCTGGACGAAGCACTGGGTCACGGTCACCATGCCAACCCACTGGGTGTAGTACACGCATGCTTCGCTGCAAGTCTTTGGTTCTGCTGCTTGCGGAGATAGAGGTTAACTCGGGTGTGGCAGCCTCTTAAGACGCTTACCAGACCGTCTATAAACATTTCTGGTTGGGGACTCGGCTCTGAATCTGACTGTGATCGTCGTCCTGTTGGGACGTAAAATAATTCCTGATGTCACTTGGGGGCGGACGTTAAATTGCCTCTTGATCAGCCAGATCAACCGAGTGTAAGGCTCGTCGGCGTACGAGGATAAATAAGAGTGTTGTGGCTGCCTTGCTCGACGATAACCTGGGGCACAGGGGTGGGACCGGATTGCACACCTTCAGTCACGCATGCTACCCGATTGCTCAGGACGCTGACGGCAAGAGATACTCAAGTGTAGAGATTAGAGGGAGGGGTTGATTCCAGGTGACAAGTTCGAGAAAATACCATGTTGTCCTATCCACACAAGTGATTCTATTTTTATGTTTTGATTAGTTAGATGGACTGCCATTGACATCTGACAGACAGCATTAGTTAGAACTTTTGATTGTTCCTGGTGCTTCTGTTTGCGGACTAGTCATACTAAAAATAGTTTCAGTTGTAGGAGTCTGAATCATCTGCTGACCCCAAATGAGATCTGTTCCAAAATAGCCACCACCAATTAGTTGGTCTGTGCACTATGCTGTGGTAGGCATCTTGTATGATCTAGTGTAGAAGGTGCACAGTGTTGTAGCCTATGAGCGACGGGGAGGACACCGGAGAGGACGACCGCAGGACCTTGCGATCATCTAGAGGCTCGATAACTCACGTGTCCCTAGGACCGGAGGGTGATAGGGAACTGTTCCGCCGGCAGAGGGAGAGACAACGGCAGAGGAGAGCTAGAGCAGCCGAGGCCAGCAGGACATTAGCTAGTGAGGCCGGTGCTACAGCAGCCATGGCTACCACAACCATGAGCACGTCTACGCAGCAGACTTCCCCAGCCGGTAGTTCAGGTACCGCCGGGTCTACGGTCGCGCAGACCGTGAGTCAGTCCACTGGCTTAATGGCAAGCCAGCCCGCGGTGTTGACCCCAGAGGATGTCGCCATCCAGCAGGCAGCCCTGCAAGAGGCACAGCTACAGCAGACATTAGGACAGATAAAAAGAGAGAAGGAAATGATGATTAGAAGAAAACCAGGTTGCAACGAAGAGGGGCAGACATAGAGGAGTTAGAAACGATGGACCTGACGAACATGGATGATGACGTGAGTGTAGTTAGGAGGGCCCGGCTAGGGGTAATAGAGATGCAGGAGCATCAGACTACCATCCTTCATGACATCCAGCAGAGCCTAGCCATTTTGGTAGGGCGTTCTCAGGCAGCGCCATCACTTGCAGGGTCGGGTGCCTGGCCTGTGCCATATCCTCCCTTTTCTGTCCCACCGGTCACTGGGGTATCCCCATTTGTAGCCCCGTCGACGGTTGTTGTCGTTTCCCTGGGCATGCCGCTCTCAGGAGGGCTATCAGCAGGTCCTAGTATTCAGGTTCCAGTACAGTCAGTGGTCACCCAGATTCCGTCACAGGTTGCCATTAGTGGGCAACCTATTGTCTCGCAGTCTGTGCTGCCACAGGGCACACAGCCCCAGCAGCTAGCACAACAACCTGTATCACCGGGTCCACAGCCCGGGTTGGTGCAGGGACCGGGACAAAGTCAGTGGGTTCCAAAGACGGCCATCGCCGCTCCCAAACCCTTTACAAGGGACAAGAGAGGCGAAGATCTCGACACGTGGTTGAGGGCAGTGCCAGTCTATGTCAGGTGTAAACTCACCTTGCCACACGAAGAAGTGCTTGTGGGTGCATCCTACCTAGAGGGTAGTGCAGCAAGATGGTTGAGTGGGTTAGTAGAACTCCAGGGGCACGGTCATGACTTCCGCTCTTGGGCAGCCTCTCAGAAATTGGAGGACTTCCTGAAGATGGTGGAAGAAAGATGGCATGATCCTCAGGAAGCCCAAAAGGCCACTGATGCGATCCTGACACTGCACACGAGGCAGTATAAGTCAGTAAGGGAAGCCACAGATGTTGTAGAGCGTCTAATCTGTGTTCCAGGGGTGCGCTATGACCCCCAGGTCCTGTTGACTTCGTACCTGAGGTGCTTATCGCAGCCTCTCAGGAACCAGTTGACAAAAGAGGCCAACATCAATATGCACAACTTTCCTTCGTTTAGCAAGGTAGCCCTAGACCTTGAAGCAAAAATAGGGCATAGACATAACTCAGTGACGGACGGGAAAAAGAAGACCCTGCCTCCTAACTGGAAAGCCAAGGGCCGCATTATGTTCGTCGACCACGATGGCTCAACCATTGAGTTGGACGACGACTCCCAGTTAGGAGTAGATGCAGAGGCAGGTGGCGATGCTTCAGAGGGTGGAGTAGTGGCCGCCGTAACCCAACAAAAAGGTAAGGGGACCGGTAGACGCCGAGGGGGCTCCCGGTCTAGGAATCAGGTTGACCCTAATGCTCCTCCATGGGAGAAGGCGGGTCTTTCCGAGGACGTGTGGAGAGATCGGTGGAACCGACAGGCCTGCATTCGTTGTGGTCAATACGGCCATAACCAGTTCAAATGTAGGAACAAGAAGGTCACCGATAAGATCCCGCCTACTACGGGGCAGGCGGTAGGATCATCATCTGCCGTAGGTAGCAATGTTGCCAGTTCATCAGGCATTGCTCCGGGAAACACGTCAGGCCAGTAGGAATAGTAGTTGTTCCTACTAGGGACGACGTGGTGGAGACACCCTCGCCATCTCGCATCATGGCCCAAGCTACTGATTCCCTTGTCGTCCCGCAAACGCATTCGGACCCATCGACCCTTTGCTCGATGAATGTGTTTGAGTAGAGGAGCTAGAGGAGAAGTGGTCTAGACTAGACCCGCTAGCTTCTTGGACGGCACTAGCTAAAGCCCCGAACGGTGAGATGTTCGTCAGCGAGATAGTCGTAGGCGGCCGCAAGGCCGGGGCCTATTATGACACTTGCTCGACACGAAACTTTATTAGTCGCGCGTGCCTTGAGAGGCTGCGTTTACAGGGGCAAGTGCAGCGCCTGAGTCGACTTGTGGAGTCGACCTGTGCCAACAAACAGTGCATGGTAGTTAATGACTACCTTCAGGATGTAGAATGTTTGTTCCCGTTCGCGGGAGGGGAGTTGAGACATCGTGTCTCATTCCTAGTGAGCGACGATCTCCCTATGGATATCTTGTTAGGTATGTACTACCTCTCTGTGGCACGGCCCCAGTTTGACTGGGACCGAAAAGTGGTCAAGCACACTTTGCCAGGTGGAGGGACCGCCAGACTACACAAGTTCAAAGCTAGGTAGTCTGGTCGATTCCCATGGATGCATGTGTGCGGCCGCGTTCTATAACTACTATAAACAACATCAGGAGGAGGGTATGTACTTAGTTTATGTCTCTGCTGCAGGCGAGCCGGTGAAAATGCCGCCGGAGATAGAGGGAGTAGTTGCCAAGTACCCTGATCTATTTGAAGAGCCAACAGGGGTTGTTGATAGGGTGGTCGTCCACGCGATAGAGATTATCCCAGGGTCTAGTATTCCGAAGGGTAGGATCTATTGAATGTCTCCAGGCGAGCTTGATGAGCTTCACCGCCAACTCAAGGAACTCGTAGACAAGGGTTAGATCCGGCCGAGTGTCTCTCCTTACGGATCTCCAGTACTATTCGTACCTAAGAAGAAGGAGGGCACTCTCAGGATGTGCATTGATTATAGGGGTCTCAATGCCATCACTGTAAAGAACAGAGAGCCCCTACCGCGCATCGACGATCTGTTAGATAGAGTGCAAGGGTGTCGGTACTTCAGTAAGATAGATTTGAAGTCCGGGTACCATCAGATTGCAATCCGGCCCGAGGATCAACACAAAACCGCATTTCAGACCAGGTACGGTCTGTACGAGTTTGTGGTGATGCCTTTTGGCCTTTGCAATGCTCCTGGCACTTTTCAGCACGCTATGAATCGGATATTCCATGACTACTTGGATAAGTTTATCGTTGTGTACCTCGATGACATACTTATTTTTAGTAAGACTGTCGAGGAGCACGTTGCACACTTGGACAAAGTCCTCAGTCTCCTGCGACAGCACAAGTTCAAGATCAACAGTGAGAAGTGCGAGTTTGGCCGCACCCGTGTCTTGTACTTGGGTCATGAGATCTCCGCGGAAGGGTTGAAGCCCGATGACGCGAAGGTGGCCAGCATTCGTGACTGGCCACGGCCTCAGTCTGTGACTGAGATGAGATCTTTCTTAGGGATGACAGGCTACTACAGAACTTTTGTAAAGAATTATAGCATAGTGGCCGCTCCTTTGACTGATCTGACCCGCCTTGACACCCCGTGGGAGTGGACAGATAAGTGCGAGGCTGCTTTCAGACATCTGAAGCATGCGTTGACGCACTATAAAGTCCTGAAACTTCCAGATCCTGACAAGCCGTTCATAGTAACCACGGATGCTAGCCAATATGGCATTGGCGCCGTGCTTGCACAACAGGAGGGGCCAAAGTTGAGGCCAGTTGAGTACATGTCAAAGAAGATGCCATCTCAGAAGTTGGCAAAGTCCACCTATGAGAAGGAACTCTACGCCGTGTACAAGGCTCTAACCCACTGGAGGCACTATCTCCTTGGGAGGTTCTTCATCCTCAGGACTGATCATCAGACCCTGAGATGGATGAGAACGCAGCCAGTACTTTCCGACGCCCTGAAGCGTTGGATTGAGGTCATTGAGCAGTATGACTTCAACCCCCAGTATTTAAAAGGGGAGTACAACAAAGTGGCTGATGCCTTGTCGCGTAGACCTGATTTCTCAGGTGCGCTGATTACTGAGTTAGAGTTGACTCGATCATTGGTGGAGGCCTATCGAGAGGACCAATTTATGTCAGAGATCATCCGCAGACTCGAGGCGAAGGACAAACAGGCTTCAGCCGAGTTTGAGATGGTCAATGGCTTGCTGTTTCTCGAGAAGGCGGGGAATAAACGATTGTGTGTCCCTAGTAGCGAGTCTTTGCGTAGTTTGTTTTTAGGGGAATATCATGATGCCACCGGCCATTTTGGGTTCAAAAAGACCGCAGCCAACTTGCTGCAGAGGTTTTGGTGGCCCACGATGATGAAAGATGCCAAGTTGTATGTAGAGACTTGTCAAGTTTGCCAACGAGACAAGCCCCGTACTCAGGCTCCTCTTGGGCTGCTCAAGCCCTTTCCGATTCTGGAGAGGCCAGGTGAGAGCCTGTCCATGGACTTCATGGATACGCTAGTCACCAGCAAGAGTGGGATGAGACAGATCTTTGTCATCGTGGATAGGTTTAGTAAGTTTGCTAGGTTAGTAGCAATGCCTGAAACAGCAAAGACTGAGTACGTGATTAAGCTGTTTAAAGAGAACTGGGTGAGAGATTTCGGATTGCCCAAATCTATTGTGAGCGACCGGGATGTCAGGTTCACAAGCGAATTATGGAAGGCCGCTGCAGCTGAACAGGGAACTCAACTGCAGATGACTTCTGGGAATCATCCCGAAGCCAACGGCCAGGCCGAACAGATGAACCGTGTTGTGCAACACCTGTTGAGGCATTATATCAAGCCCAACCAGGTGGACTGGGACGAAAAGATCGCACTTGTCGCCAGTGTGTACAATAACGCTGTACACAGCGCTACAGGAGTAAGTCCTAACAGTTTACAACTAACGTTTAAGCCTCGATTGCCCTTAGACTTCCTACTTCCTGACAACCAGCCAACTGCGGCACCAGGCACTCTAGAGTTTGCCTACCGATATGAACAGAAGATGCAGGAGGCTGTAGAACACATGCAGAAGGCACAGGCAACAATGATAGCATCTGAGAATAAACACCACCGCCCTTCTACATTTCAGGTTGGGGACAGAGTCTGGGTCAAGTCTTCAGAATTGGGACAGGAGTTCGGGATATCCCGCGAACTCATGCCTCAGTGCTTTGGACCTTGGGAAGTTTTGGACGTAGTAGGGACAGATCCGGATGGTCCATCTTATGTCATCCGTATCCCTGGTCACCTCAGAACTTACCCAGTCTTTCACGCCTCTAAGCTCGCTGCGTTCGAGAAAACTGATCAGTTTCCCTCTCATCGGTCAATGCTGCCCCCAACCATGGACGGAGAAGTCGACATCGATGATATCGTCGACCACAGGGAGATGCCTGTTCAGAAGCCTCCGGGAAGGGGACGTCCTCCAAAGCCAAAGCTGCAGTTTCGTGTCCACTTCAGACATCACACAGATCCGAAGGAGGACCGCTGGTTTACTCGGGAGGAATTGATGCAGACCGCTCCTCAAATCGTTGCCCGCTATGAGAAGGATGTATTGAAAGGAAAGCGCCAGATGGCTCAGGATTGATCTTCTCAGAGGACTAACGAAGATATGGAGGAGGGAATGCGAGGCTACGCCCGCTCAGCCCCTTTCTGGGACCCTTTTTGCAGCACGTCGGCCGCCCTAAGTGAAGGCAGGCGCGACAAGCCCTCAGGGCCTCGATTTTCAGGGTACCCCGCAACTGGGGAAATTCAGACAGTTGCACTGCGCCAGTTGGTTGAAGGCGCCCAGGCCCAGGCCATATTTTGCAAATGTATCTGAATGGTGACCTGGGCCAGACGCGTGCGAAAGGCCGTAAGCAGGCCAAGGGCAGTTGGGCACATGCAACCATCAGGCCCTGGGCCTGCGTGTGAGGTCTGGGCCTGCGCCTACTGGGGCCTACCGGAATCTTCTTGGGAAAGGCCAGACGCAGCCTGGGCAGAATACGGGCAGGCCACTTCCATATAGCAATGGGCCTGCCT